TAAAATAGACCATCAGCTCATTCTCTCTTTGCCAATAGCTATGAAGACTAAAATGGCTCTTTTGGCCTCTGGCTCACTTAAGTATCTTATTTGTGCTGAAGACAAAAGAATGGCAGTGCTAAAGAAGACAGCAAACCTGGTTCCCAAGAAGGGTACAGTTGAAACTGTCACAAGTTGACAAAAATAACACAACTTAGTTGATCCAAGCTGCATACAATGGGGTTATTACATTCAGTACCAGGGTAGAGCTCCTGGAAGGGGCTTTAGGATCTAGTCCTGTTATTCAATAGAGTACTTTAGGATGGAACTGGTACTTGAAGGTTTCCTTACTGTAGTTCCTAAATTCCAGTTGAAGTCCTTTGAAAGTCTACTATCCTGCAGTCTTCAGAATTCTGAACCCACTTTCTCCAACCTACCTTAGCCATGAAATTTGCTTCAAATGATAGGAAAATTCACAAGACATGAAAAATAAGCATTCCCAATTACTGAAAGCAAAGCATGGCTTCCATAATTAGAATAAGCCCTATCAATTGAAAACCTGCAGTACTTCTTCAAAAAGTCTCCTTTACCATCATGTGTGTTAGTAAACATATGGAATAACTATGCAAACCTAAAAGCAACTATGTACCCATGCCACCTTGCTCCCAACTGACACACAGGCTTCTTTGGGAATATTTTCAAAACAGCCTCTGAAAGACTGCTCTGGGGTGGGCAGCAGCTTTTAGAATCTGCTTGCATTGCTTTTAAAGTCTGTCCCTCCATGTCTGCTGCTCTTTGTGTTGCTCTTGGGAGGGTCACAAACTAGACGCATTTCCCCTCACAAACAAGCAAAGCAGATGGCCCACAGAGTAATTCAAACTACCACCGGTGACTGATCTATCTGTGTTGGTGGGCAGCCTCCCTTAGCCTGTGCTGAAGAATAAGCAAGACAGGCAGGCTTGGAGACTCTGAAAACCCAAATCCCCACCTCTCACTAGGAGCTTGAACCACATTGAGTCATGATGCAAAAACCATAACAAAACACCCATAACTAAAGGATAAAATTCAACTGATCCTTTGAAATCAGTGTTTTTAAAGAGTACACTTGAAACAGAGTAAACCAGTTGGAAAGAGAACCCAAAGTTACTTGTGTTTTATTTAACTAGAGAGGAAAGAAAGACCTCTTAACTGTTAACTCATTTTGTTTGCATTCATTATGTTCAAACCACAACCTAATGAGCCTACTTGCCAAAAATATGGGAGGGTCTGGTTGCTATGAGATGTTAAATTCATATTCTTATAATGTTAAAATCACATTCCCTTGATGATTTCTAGTCAGAAGGTGTAATTCTAGTTTGCATGGAACAAGTGCTTTTAGCTCTAAGGTGTTAATACTGCAATTGAAATCTTTCCAACTATTGCTTAGAAGAAGACATTTGCAAATGCTTGCCTTAATTGCACAAAACACATTAATTCCAGATATTAACTTATTGATCATCTATGTACATATCTATTATTACCATGGCTGTGAAATCATTTAAGAAACAGACAACTATTTAGAAACAGACTGCAGAATCAAATCACATCTAAAGAGAAAAACATTTTATGATAGTTCAGACATTGGTAAGAAATCAAAGGAAAATCCATGTTTTTGATCACTCACCCTGAAGTATGCTGAAATTGAACATTTTAGACCCAAGTAACCAAAGATATATTGAAGAAAACTATAACATAGTACATATTGAGTTCATTTCAATCACAGTAGTCTATTTTAAAAACAAACTCCCAGAAGGGATATGGGAATGGAATCCATTCAAAGCAACAGCTGTCCAAAGTTCTGCCAAGAAATTCAGAGTAACTTATTGCATCATGAAAGGTGAGGTGTTCAGAAGAGCAAACAGTTCAATGATATTCCTTTCCTTCAGATTTTATTTTTAATCCAAGAGAAATTTCTAGATTGAAAACATGTTTTCATATTTTATGACTAATTAAGTCCATAAAATTCAACATGGTAAATAGAAAAAAAACCTTCTACTTTATTTTTAGTATTGACAGAGGAGGACCTAACTTGGAATTGATAAAATTAGGCTGGCATCTCAACTCTACCACTAGCTATCCCTTTCTATGGATTCTTGGGCCAGGAACTGCTGGTTTGTAGGACTCTGATTTCCTTACATGCAAACCACAGGAGATGAGCACCAGTCCTGCCCAGATCTGACATTGTATTCTCCAGTGACATGCAGATGGGCACAGCTTCCACCTAAACTGACTCCTCTTGCAATTAGACCCAAGCACTTATATAATATTTGTAAAGAAGTTACTAAGGCAAATATCTGCCTTGATTTCAATATACACACCTGTGCCAGATAGTTACCACTTGGTTCATTTCGTTTTGCTTTAGGTCTGCCAAGTAGAGAGGTGGCAAAAGCAATATGCCACATACAAGATGTGCTGAGGGACCCAATAAGCCCACTTCCAGCTTCTACTGTGCTTTCATCTGTGAGACTGGAGAATCCCAATGGGGAAGACTGCTGAACAACAAGGTAATTAAATCCCCATAAATGGGGGCAACATTAACCTTCTGTCTGTAGAATTCTGCCCAATAAGCTAGCCTAATTTGGGAGTTGTTTACAAGAGGTATCAATAAGCCAGACTTGCTGAAAATCACATAAAGCTCACAGAAACATTATCAGGAATCATAACCCTAAATTAAAAGTGTGTATCCTAAAAAAACATAGAAATAAAGGATAAGCACTAGTTAGGTGATAATAGTAGTACGTGTGTGTCTGTGTATATATACACGCAAAAATACTTAATCTTTTTAAAAAACCACTTCTAAGCACTAATAAATTGTGGCCAAAATTAAGTCCAGCTAAGAAGACAGGGTACAGACATTACTGGTGTGTGCTTTGATGAAATGCCTATCTTAAAATATTGATGATGGGCTGGGGATGTGGCTCAGTGGTAGAGCACATGCCTAGTATGCATGAGGCTCTGGGTTTGATCCCCAGCACACACACATTTTATATATACTAGAGAAACTTGGAAGGCTTTGATTGTCCAATGCAAGATTTTTCCTTTATGAAAACCAAGCCAACTAAACAAAACCCCAACCTCCTAATCTGGCTCACTTTGTCATTTGTCATGGGGGAAAAACAGCATGTCAATATTTTAAAATGCATAGCATAAACTAACATTCCTTGGTTTATATGTCTGGTTGGTGGATATGAAGTGCTATCCCAAGTGACTGCACATGTACTGGAAGATTATGAGATAAAGTGCATATGCTAGTCTTTCCTGGATTGAATGTACTATAAAGCCAAACGTGCTGTGAAACACGTGCAATAAGAACATTGTTGATAAAATTTGTTGCAGCCTCCAGGTCTCAGCACATGGGGAAACAAGTTACCTAAAAATTTGCACTGACCCATTCATAATCTTAGGAAGGGTTTAAACTCACTTCCAACCCTTCCCCAGAAGAAAAAAAAAGGCAGCCAAATGAGAAAAAAAAAAGGATATAGAGAAATAATTCAAGTTTCAGGACTTTCAAAATCCAATCACTTCAAAATCCTTAAATATGCATGGAATAGATTCAACAATTTGTTTTTCTTTGGAAAAAACATCATCTGTTTGAGCCTTTCTCTTCTGCTGATAAGCTACTGATAAAGCTTGCCAGTGGAACAAGGAAATATTAGATAAATGCCTACTTTTGCTAAAAGCTCTCAGCTATGTTGAAATCAATGGCTTAATAATCCCAATATTGCAAACCTATCCAAAGCCATTTCAAATAGGACCCCAGGAACACCCTATCCCACTATTCAAAGAATGAGTAAATTAGCAAAATGCACAAGAGACATTATGTCTTGTTATAGAAGTCTCTCAAAGTGATGGTGAAATTGGCAAGCCCTGTGAGGGTCTGTGACCTAAGGGGTTGGTCAATCCCCACTTTCAACTTGGTCTTTCAGGAGAACCAGCAGCTACCTAACTTTCTGTAGCATACTGGCTCCTGCAATTTGAACTTGTTATTCACACATACCACCTACCCTGGAGTCGGGTGAGCTCCTCTGAACTGGATATAAACCAATTACTTTCCAAGGGTATATTTTACAAAGAACCAAATAGTTATATAGCCAGTGTGAGGACTACTTTCTTTCATTACTTCTTCATGTCCACTACTTTGATGATCCAGGTTAAAATAAAGACAAAAATAACTACCAGAGATTGTTGGGTTATTGGTAACCTTTTTCCTTTCCTCCCCGGTCTGGATACCTGGGTTCAAACAACAAAGGTTTATCAATCTGGCTTTTCATACTTGATGGGTGGTTTCCAAACTCATGCATTTACAGATATGCTGTCCCATGCAGGATAAAAGTAGAGATTTGGCAACTATATATTTAATTTGATAGGGCGAGGCAGTTAAAGTAGATTGCTCTTGCCCAGAATTTACATGAAAGAACTGAGTTATGTGAGTTGACGGCCCAGATTGGCCAAGTTAAATAGCTCATTGCCAAAATCTCCACTTCACAGAGGTGTAAAGACTCAATAAGTCTTTGACATTCAATAGAGAACAATAGTCATGTATTATTTATAGCTAGATATAACATCAAAATGGCACTAGACAAGCAATTTTGGCATATAGTGGTGGAGGGCATAGCGCCAGTCTAAATCTGATGCTTTTGTTTTATCTTAGTTTTTGTTTTTATTATCATCATGCCAAAGACTATCCACTTAGAATCCCAATTATTCAGGAAACCAACCTACTGCATGTGATATACATACAAAAATAAAACAAGCATCCCGAAGGTACTTGGTTATAAGGTTTTATACAAATCATAAATTCTTTAAATAAATAATGCTCTAAATTATTTGCTAAAAGACTGATTTTTGGTAAGGAGCAGCATCTAATATCTTGACAATGTACTTAAGAATGGGAGATAAATTCCACTAATAATTACAATTTCAAGTGTGATAATCAGTTGAAGAATTTTTTCCACCACAGTAAAATACACAAGTGCAAGAGAAAAGGTCATATGGATTATATTCTGCTGCTCACACCTTTTGACACATTAAGACATCTATGACAAGTAGTTGGGCTCAAACATTCAAAAGAAAGATCTTGGCAGACAAGGTCACCCGCTGTCACTTGAAACGTGGAGGTCACAACACAGTGACTGGACGAAGTTGTTCCAATTGGTTTTCCAATGCAATTCGTTCTTGGTGAACCTCCTGAGTAGTACAAAACAGGGAGAAGAAAAACAAAAAGCAAATGGGTCATTTCCTGGGTTTATCTCTACTTTATCAAATATTCAAAGGAAACTTACAACTGGATCCACAAATACTTAAGTGTTGGAAGGGACCCGATTTAAAACTGATGATTATACAAAGGGAGGCTTCACAATTTCTAATCTCTCAACTCCTTTCTGAAGATGATGATATGAAGCTCATGAACCCTTTTCCATTACCCCACTTTAGTCTTACCTTGTAGGATCAGCAGGGTAGCAGAGAATGATATTAAAAATTAAAAGGCTAATTGGGAAAGACCAGAAGGCAAAAGCAGATTCGTAATACTGAAAGGTAAGCCACCCGAGCTAAATTTCTAGCTGCAATCTCTGGCTTCTAATCCAGCAACATAGTCAGGTCTGAGGGGTGAAAAGGCACGCTCGCTGTCCCTCTACCAAAGTTTTATCCAGGATCCTGCACAAAACATGCTTACTGTGTGACTTCTTGGTAATAGGCAGAAGAGAGAATTAGCAATCTTCTATTTGGGAAATCAAACTTTCAGGCCTAAAACAAATGTTTTTGAAGAGAGAAAGGAAGCACACATAGGCATTCTTAAGTCAAATTAGTCAAGGTGATAAAGAATTCTGTATAAAGGCTCAATTCTGAGTTGTTTCAGAAGAGCTAACACACTAGTAATTAGCACAGAGCACAAGTGTTTATCCAGTTGATAGCTGGTTGTAGGAAGATTGGATAAGAACAAGCATTTCAAGGGCTGAGGTTGTGGCTCAGCGGTAGAGCAGTTACCTAGCATGTGCAGGGCCCTGGGTTCGATCCTCGGCCCCACATAAAAATAAATAAACAAAATAAAATTATCTGTCCATCTACAACTAAAAATAATACAAAAAAGAATAGGCATTTCAAAGAGAGGCTAAAAATTAATTATCTCAGATGTATATTAGATGTCTAGAAAGAAAAAGCAGAGTAAGAAACTCTATATGCATATTTAGAGCTTAGAGGAAAGAGAAGCAGGCTTAACACGTAAGCATTAATATTTCACTAGCTTATGGATCATCTTCAGAGTCATGGGACAGTATAACATCATCTTGCAATACAGAATAGAGATTTTCAGATAAAGGTTGAAGACAACGTTATGCTAGGTCCATACTTACACCTTCCTGGAACTTCACTAAAGCAACACAGGAACTTTTTAAAGTGATAGAGTCATAAGACAGGGAAAACAAAAGAGAAGAAGAAATGGTAGTAATAAAATATATAAGCTGATCAGGCAAAGAAACGAATGGTAAATTACTTAGCCAATATGGAGTGAGGTGAGGGGATGTGGGAATTCTGCCAGCTGCTATGTACATCTATTCCAAGTATACATTCTAGGGTTGAGGAAATACCCACAGTGTGGGTTTGTAAATGCCCTGAACCCACTATGAGATAGACCTAAGCCAATCCTCACTGATGACTTGACCTCCATAAGCCTCTGCTCTGATTGGTGGGTCACAGTAACAGTTGGTCTCCTAAAACTAGTGCCAGTTCAGAGCCAGTCATTCCCACAATACACAGCCACTCTAGTAAATAAATGGCCACAGGTCCTTCTGGGAAAGGCTAGAAGATTAATAGTTTAAAATTTGAGCTGCATAGGGGAGCCCTTCATTAAGGAAACACATAGGTCATTTGTTCAAGGACCATTTGCATTTGTAAATTAGCTTGGTCAAGGTACTGACTGAGGGGCCATGACTAGAGCTCTGCTTTGGTGATTCTTAAACATCTGTTCATTAGACCTAGAACTTTACTACACATACGGATCAAGTAAAGAGAGCTGAAACACAAGCTAAGCATATTGAAAAAATAAGAACCAATCGGATTTTACATAGAAGAGTCCCTGAAGGACTCCAACTGGCAGCACCAGATACCTATGAAAGTGGCAGTGAACAAGGGGAGGAGGACTGGCTAAAATAATTGTTGACTAGAAGTCTGTTTCAGAAGCAATTAGATTCCACGACATTCCTGCCACCAGAGAAGAGCACTGAAGATTTATTAACTAAAATGGTAAAACAGAACATCTGGACAAGCAAGAAATAGGCACAGGTGAGGAGAAAAGATGCTGAAGAGTAAATAAATATCCTGGATGCTAACATCCACAGCCCTCCCACTCCAATGAACCAGGTCTTTCCACCCACACAGGAGACCAAAAGATTGACCTTTCTCGAAGTCTCCCACTAGACCAAGAAGGAGCCCATGAAACTGCCTTTGCAGGTTCCCCAACTATATAATCTAACCAGGTCACTGAAAGTACAAAGTTGACAAGTTCCCAATGTGCTGTGCATTTCCAAAACTATCATTACAAGAATACATCCTAATAGGGCTAGAAATGTAGCTCAGTGGTAGAGTGCTTGCTTAGCATGTGTGAAGTCCTGGGTTCAATTCCCAGCACTGCAAAAAAAAATGTATCATAATAATGAAAATTAAACAAAGAACAAAAAATGAACTCCTTTTATTAAATAAAAGGAGATGTACAATTCACTGTGATATATTCATATATGTACATGGGATAGTTTGGTCAATTTCATTGTATCATTCTTCCCTCCCCCTCAATCTCCTTCTTTTATGTCACTGATCTCTAAAGAGTTCTTTACATAATCAGGATATAAGTTGTTTGTCAAATATGTGATTTGTAAATATTTTCTTTCCTTTTATTACTGAATAGTGAGTATGAATATTGAGTGAATATGCCATAACTTGGTTGTTAGTTCTATTCATGGGCATTTTGAAACTGTTTCTAAACTGGGTATGGCTGTAATCCCAGCAACTTGGGAGGCTGAGGCAGGAAAATCACAAGTTTGAGGCCAGCCTCAGTAATTCAGCAAGGTTCTAAGCAACTTGACAAGACCCTGTCTCCCAGTCTGTAGTTTGCCTCTTAATTCTTGACAATGTTTTTGGTAGAGAAGTTCTTAATTTTTATGAAGGTAAATTTATTGTTTTTTTTTATAGATCATGCTTTTTTAAAGAGAGAGAGAATTTTTTAATATTTATTTTTTAGTTTTCAGTGGACACAACATCTTTTAATTTTATTTTTATGTGGTGCTGAGGATCAAACCCAGCGCCCTGCGCATGCCAGGCGAGCGTGCTACCGCTTGAGCCACATCCCCAGCCCAATAGATCATGCTTTTGATGTCATTTCTAACCTCAGGTCATAAGGACATTTTCCCTATGTTTTCTTCTAAAAGTTTTGTAGCTTTATGTTTAGCATTTACATCTATGACTCATTTTAAGTTAACCTTTGCATAGAGTTTGAGGCTTAGATCAAGGTTCATTGTTTACATATGAATAACCAATTGTTACAAAACATTTTGATGAAAGACTAGTCTTTCTCCTTGAGTTTATTTTGCGTGTTTGTCAGAGATCAAAAGGCTGTAGTGTAGGCATGTGGTCTATTTCAGGACCCTATCCTGTTTTATTGATCTATGCTCCAATCCTTCCACCACACCATTTTCCTAACTGAAATTTGATGGTAAGTGATTCCTCTAATTTTGTTCTTCTTTTACAAATTTGTTTTAGCAATTCCAGTGCCTTGGCCCTTACAGCTTTTGGGTCAGCTTTCTGTATTCTCACAAAAAATCCTGCTGGGATCTTTATTGATATTGCAATGAATCTAAAGATCATTTGGGAGAAAAATGAAATCTTGACTATGTTGAATCTTCCAAATCCACAAGCAAAATATGTCTCTACATTTATTTAGATCTTCTTATATTTCCTTGAGCAGTATTTTGTAGTTTTTAGCATACAATTCCTTGATAGACTCGCACCAAAGTATTTCACTTTGGGGAGGAGGCAAGCTATTATGCAATTATACTTTTTAAAATTTCTATTACCAATTGTTCATAGCTTGATTTGGAGGGGTGCAAGTCTTCTACTCTGTGACTTTCATAAACTCAACTAGAAAATAAAATTTAAAAAAATTTCAATTTGCAATCATGTCATAAAATCTTGGGAATAAACTTGACAAGAAATCTATAAGACTTATATACTCAAAACTGAGAACATCTGAGAGGAATTTTAGAAGACCTAAATAATTGTGGAGATTACTCTGTTTACAGATTAGCAAACTCAAGATTGTTTAGATGTCAAGTCTCCCTAAACTGTTGTAGAGAATCAGTGCAAATCCAATCATAATCCTATCAGTTTTGACTTTGTAGAAACTGATATACCAATTCTAAAATCTATATGAAACAATGGGCTTACAATATCCAATGGAATCTTGAAAAGGAACAGTTTGATAAAAGAAAATCACCTGGTTTCAGCACTTAGTATAAGGCAACAGTAATCAAGAATGTGTGGTACTGGCATAAGGATCCAAAAATTAGTGAATGAGGCAGAGTAAGAACTCAGAAATGAACCTACATATATAAGGTCATTAGATTTTTGACAATGGCACTAAAGCAATCCAAAGAGGAAAGGAAGGTCTTTTCAACAAATAGTGCTGGAGTAAACATTAAAATGGGAAAAACTGAACCTTGACCCTTATCTCACATCATATACAAAACATAAATCAAGATGGATCAAAATCCTAAATGTAAATGGTAAAACAATAAAGCTGTTAGAAGAAAACAAAAGAATATCTTAATAATTTGGAGATAGACAAAGTATCTTAATATAGGAAGAAAGTAATAACTATTAAAAATGATAAATTTACACTTTATTAAAATTTAGAACTTATGCTCATGAAAAGATTGAAGAAAATAAATCAGCAAAACAAAGACTAGAAGAAAATATTCACAAAATTTATATCTAACAAATGACAGGTAACCAACATATGTAAAAAGCTACTACCTACAACTCAACACCAAAAAAAGACCCAAAACTCAATTCAACAACTGAACAAAAGATACTTCATAAAATACAAAAGGTAGGACTGGGGTTGTGGCTCAGTGGTGGAGCGCTTGCCTCGCATGTGTGAAGCACTGGGTTCGATCCTCAGCACCACATAAAAATAAATAAAGGTATTGTGTTTATCTAAAAAAAAGTATATTAAAAAATATAAAACGTAAGTAATCACACAGGAAAGTGATCCACATAATTAGTCATCAAGGAAATGATGATACAAGTACATAACACAGACTAGCTAAAATTAAAAAGAATAACACCAAATACTAATAAAGATGTGGAACAACTGGAACTTTCATTCAGTAGTGATGGGAATGTCAAATGCTACAACTACATTGTAAAAAGGCCTAGCAGTTACCAATAAAACTAGTTAAGTACACATACACTTACCATATTAGCAACTAATCTTAAACCTAGGAATTTACCCATGAGAAATGATAACATACTTCCACACAAAAACTTGTTTTAAAATGTGTTTTCATTCAAAATTATCCTAACTGAAAATAGTTGCAGCACTTTTTCCTGTGTGTGTGTGTGTGTGTGTGTGTTTGTTTGTTTGTTTTGTTTTGTACCGGGGATTGAACCCAGGGGTACTTACCAGTAAGTCACATCCCCAGGCCTTTATTTTTTATTTTGAGACAGGGTCTTTCCAAGTTGCTTAGGACCTTGCTAAATTGCTAAGGCTGGCTTCAAACTTGTGATTCTCCTGTCTCAGCCTCCCAAATTGCTGGGATTACAGGCATGTGCCACCATTCCCAGCTTAGAAACAGTTTAAAAATGCCCATGAATAGAACTGACAACCAAGTTATGTCATATTCACTCAATGGAATACTATTCAGTAATAAAAAGGAAAGAATTACTGATACATACAGAATAAACAAATCTCAAAAATATAATACCAAGGGAAAGAAGCTTTCCATCAAAGTGTGTTTTAGGGTACCATTTACACAAAGTTATAGAACATGCAAAACTATGGTATAAAAATTTCAGAATAGAGGTTGCCTGTGTGTGGCTGGGCTAGGAACTGACAGAGAAGGACACGAGAAAGCTTCGTGGAGTGATGGTAATGTTCTCTCATTTGACAAGATTTTGGGTTCCAAAATATATACATTCAATAAATGTAACACCTCAGATCAGTACAGATTGGTACATTCACTGTATGTAAATTTTATATCATAAGAAAAACCTATAAAAATATTGAACTCTAGCTAACAATGTGTGAGCTAAAATATTTAGAAGTACTCATACATCTGAAATTCATCTGAATATATGTTAAATAATATGAATTAATGGAGAGAAGTGATAGATAAATGGAGGTGTACATAGACTATAATAAAACGTGGCAGAACTAAAGTAGTGGCTATGTGAGTGTGCATCATAGGACTCTTCCAACTTTCCTACACATTTGAAAATTTTTGTAACGAAAAATTTTAGCAAGGGGGGTGCATGTAAAAGAGAAATCACAGAAGGCAGAGACCACAAAGGAGGAAGGAAAAAGCACCAGTGGAGTAGAAGGAAAACCAGGAAAGTATGGTATCTCAAAATCTGGTTAGAAAAGTGATTTCTGAGGAAGAAATGGTTAGTTCTGTATATTCTTCTGAAAATTCAAATAATATGAAAGCAAGCCTATTGGGTTTGGCCATAAGAGGGCTATGAATGTAGCAAAACAAAGCCATACTAAAGTAGAAGGGAGAGAAAACCATTCGTGAGGAAGTGAAGACAGTGAATAGAAACAATTTCTAAGAAACTCTGCTGTGAAGGCGACCAGAGAAATGGGGCAGTAATCAGTCAAGGGCAATGGGCAACACTGGAGCACATTTATGGGTGAATAAGGAATGATCCAGTAGAGAATCTTGTCTCACCAAAATATATATTCAAGTAGTGGCTATGTGAGTTTGCAGTACCTATAAATATGACCTGATTTGCAAATAGGATCTTTGCAGATGTAATCAAGTTAAAAATGAGGTCATACTGTATTATGATGGGCCCTAATCCAAAGAACAGTGTCCTTAAAAGAAGGATACAATAAGAAGAGGAATTTGGACAACGACACATAGAGACCCAGGAAGAATTCCATGTGACAGTAGAGGCAGAAATTGGGAGTGTTGTGTCTATAGGCCAAGGACTGCCAAGGACTGCAAGAAACTACCAGAAGCTAGGAAGAGGAAAGGAAGAATTCTCTCCTGGAGCCTTCAAAGAGAGCATGACTCTGACAACACTCAGGTTTCTAGCCTCCAGACCTGCAAGAGAGGAAATTTCTATAGTTTTAAGCCACTGAATTCGTAACACTTTGTTATAGGAAACTAACGCAGAGGAGATTAATAATAAAGAGAAACAGATGATGACAAGAATTGCATTGATGTCCTTGAGGAGGTGAGATGGAACCATTTTCATGGTACCAGAAGAGGGGTTGCTCTTTGATAGTGTACCCAGGTCACTTCCTTTGAAAGAAGTCAACACATCACCTTTCAGAGAGGATTTTAACAATTAAGCACTAACTCCGAAGCTTTGGACAACAAGTGCTTCAAAGAGACTTTTGGTAGATTTATCTTTCCTTTTAACACACATAATATGCAGCCTACCTATAAAATTTGCTAGTCCCTCCAAGCACGAAAGAACAGAGGCAACTCTTACCAACAGGGATGGGCAGCCAGTGGTCAACACAAAGCAAAATTAAAAAGCCAGGGAAGAGCCTGGTAATCCAAATCTTGGAAACATTCCTTACCTTAAGCTGCTGTTGGAGTTCACTGTTCAATCGAGCCAGCACTGCATTTGCCTCCTTATTTTTACGGATAGCAGTTTGAATGGCCTTCTTCTGTTTGGAAGACTGCCTATAGAAAAGTACAAACATTTTGGTGAAAAGAGCTTAGAGGTCTGGACCCTCGCAGGTCAGAACTCTGATCTATGAGAGGTGCCACGCTAACAAGGGTTAACATCACAGGACTCCAAAAATAAAACCCCATATTCACAGGCAGGCACCAAATGAAACAAATTTGTCGGGATGAATTATTTACACCTGAAATAATTCCCATTTTATAACTTGAATAAAAGCTGTGAATTGGGCCTTTACAAACATTGGTATTCCATTTATTCTGGATATTTTAATAGGCATTTCTTCTAACAAACCTTATTTATTGGAATGTCCTTTTGTGTAAGGATTAACGACATTTAAAAGACCTGCAGTTGGCCTCTTTGGACAATTTTGAAAGAAAATAATAGAAGAATATTTTCTTTAGCTGCCTAACTTTCCATCATTTCTTTGTTAATGGATAGTGGAGTGGGGGTGGGGGTGTCCATGTGCATGCACCAGCATGGATCTGTGGCAATTGAGAAAAAAAATTAGAATATTTTAATATCCCTGAGTTAATTCAATAGTAAATTCAGAGAAAAGGTGTGTACTACTTTGCACATTAAAGTCTCTGGTTAAACTCTTTGGTCACAGGTCATTTTACTACTATCTTTACCTCTCAAAACTGCCCATGGTTAGGAAGATACATCAACATGGTCATCACAGGCATAACCTACAACATTTTATCCTATAGCAAAAAAATACAAAATTTTTAGAGCAAAAGGGTGATTTCTATTTCCCTAGAAAAACAACCATTTGTAATTAATGAAAGAAGGACTCTAGGTTGGAGCAACTGAACTAGAATGGTCTGTGACTACTATATAGGTATATAGGTAAAATTAACATTTAGTGAGGATATAGAGTATGCTAGCCACTCTGTTTATCATAGAAGACATAATATGTCCCTAGTAAGTTCAGAATTAAAGATTACTTTCTTCATCCATAGAGAGGCAGGAAGAAGCTTCAAATCTGCTTTTTAAAAAAATATAGATTAGACAATCTATTAGAAGGGAACAGGGGATGGGGAAAGGAAAGGGGAAGGAGAGGTACTGGGGTCCTAATTAGAAAGATATATTCCATGCTTGTATAATTACATCAAATGGAGTCTACTGTCATGTATAACTAAAAAGAACCAATAAATTTTTTTTAAGTTTAATGTAAGGAAGGTTGAGGTAACCATTATTCTACTCTCTACTTACATAACATTATTAAATTTCACAAGTGAATGAGAAAAATATATTTATAGATTAGATTTCTAGGTCCAGGAGAAGATGCAGTAGACACATTTCTCTCTATTCTTCCTGCTAAGTACAGTGAACTCTCTGGACAATATATAAAAATAAACATAAGATAACTCTTAAAGACAGAATAAAGAGGTAAACCAGAAAGAGAACTCAATACCCAAGGAAACACACAGTAGTGAATTCTCTGGGTTTTCTTTTGCATCATATATCCCAGACTGGATACTGTAGAAGTTGGCAGTACATATATACCAGTGAGATCAGACAAAAAGGCTCCCCCTCAAAAAACTCTGTTTTCTCTAGCCAAAAGAACTGGAAAGGGGTAGCCAAGTAATATAGAGAACTTCTAGACAATAACTACTCTACTACAATCAAACACCACAAAAAAATTACAACCCCCAAATCCCATCTTCATCAGCCAAGGCCAAGTGGGATGGCTAGACTTCCTCCTCTGGGCACCCTCCAAGGTGGTGTTGCATCCGAGGATGTCAAGTAGGAAGTCAGGACCTTCACTCCTTTCTAGTGGTAAAGAACCTTCTTCTCACTGTGGAGGCCACATAAGGAGCAATAACCAAACACCACTCCCCTTCTCAGCCAGGGTGGTATCAGTGGAGGTCTAGTGGGAAGCCTGAAGTGCCACTCCCATTCAGCAATAACAATAGACCCTTCCATCCTCCATGGTGTAAATGGAAGTCAAGTAGGAAAGCACGATTAAATAGAAGATTTTAATAAGATTCAGAGTTTCATTATATAATACCCCAAATGTCTAGGATACAATAAAAAATCTTTATCAAATGGAGAAACAGAAAATCATAATGTGATGAGAAAACACAACAGATGCCAACACCTAGATAATGCAGATGTGAAATTACCTAATTAAGATTTTAGCTTAGCCATTATAAAAATATTTCAATTGACAAATACAAGCATATCTAAACAAATAAAAAATAGAAAATTTCAGAAAAGAAATAGAAGATATAAAGAAGAAACAGCTAGGCATGGTGGCACATGTCTGTAATCCCAGCAACTGGGGAGGCTGAGACAGAAAGATTACAAGTTCAAAGCCAGCCTCAGCAACTTAGCAAGACTCGCAGCAACTTAACAAGATCTTTTCTCAAAATTTAAAAATGGGCAGAGATTCAACTCAGTAGTAAAGTGCCCCTGGGTTCAATCTTGGTACCAATCAGAAAAGAAAAACACAATGAATGTTTCCTCTGACACTATGCCAGTGAAGGAAGAGTATTGCCATCTTGTTTTTTCCAGGTGAGGATGGAAGTCCAGTTTCCCTATTTTACTTCCATTTACACCATTGGGAATGGAGGGGTACGTTATCAATGAAAAATATAACATCTGAAATTAAAACCTCAATTAATGGGCTCAACTGCTGAATAGAGAGGACAAAAATCAGTGAATTTGAAGACACAAATTACCCAAACTGAACAGAGAGACTAGGCTGGAAAGAAAACTGAACACAGCTTCAAGGACCTATAAAAGAATAAGATCTAGTATTTGCCTCATTGAACTTCCAGGAGAGAAGAGAGAAAGATGAAAAAGCATCTGAAGAAATGATAGTTGAAAATTTCTCAAATTTGGCAAAAGACATAAGCCTATAAATTCAAGAAACTAAAAACCCAAAGAGCCTAAATTATAATTAAACTTTAAAAAAATAAGACAAAGAAAAAATTCTTGAAAGCAACAAGAAATGATAAACTTATCTATAAGAGTACAATTCAAATGACAGCAGATTTTTAACCAGACACCATGATGGCCAGAAGGAAATGACACACTTTTCAAGTTCAAAAGCAAAAAACTATCAGCCTAGAACTCTATATCCAGTAAAAATAAATTTTAGGAATTAAAGGAAAACCAAAACATTTTTAGATGAAGGAAAGTAAATATACTGCCAGTAGATCTACCCGAAAAGAATGGCCAAAAGAAATTGCTAAAACAAAAAACTGATGTAGGAATCTTAGAACATGAGGAACAAAGAATGAACAATAAAAAGGGTAAATATAATAATACTTCCCTTCCCCTCTTTTGTATAATTTGAAAACTTAAATGAAGGAGATCAACTGCTTCAAAAACGCTAATTACCAGAACTCACCCATTATTCCACAGTGCTTTTGAAAATTTTCAAATTTCATTTTAAAAATGTACTTTTTAAAAACTCCCCCCAAAATAAATCTCTAAGCCCTGACAGTTTCACTGGAGAACTATGAAAAAAAAAGAAAACTCTTTTTTGGAACTGGGGATTGAACTCAGGGGCATTCAACCACTGAGCCACATTCCCAGCCCTTTTTTTGTATTTTATTTAGAGACAGGGTCTTGCTGAGTTGCTTAGTGCCTCACTTTTCCTGAGGCTGGCTTTGAACTCACCATCCTCCTGCCTCAGTCTCCCGAGCTGCTGGGATTACAGGCATGCACCACCAAGCCTGCCCCCAAATTCTTAAAAATGAAAGAGTGCCAATTTTGCACCATCTCAACCACAGAAGTGAACATTTCCCAGCTCATTTTATGAGGTTAATATCACTAAAACCAAAAGTAGACAAAGACAGCACAAAAAGGAAATTAAGCACAGTATCCTGATGAATATAGATGCAAAAAAACTTTTAACAATTTATTAGTAAAAATAATTCAGCAATATATAAAAAGAAGTATACACCAGGAGCAAAGGAAGTTCATTCCAGGAATGGAAGAATGATCCAATATTCAAAAATTAATCAATATAACCCACTATTTGATTTTAATTGATAAATGAAAATATAAAAATTGTACATATTTATGGGGTACCATGTGTTGTTTCAACACATGTACACATTGTGTTGTAATCCTCCATCTTAAGCCATAAAAAGAAAAATGACCATATCAATTGACACAAAAAAAGAACTTGATAGAACCCAACACCCATTCATGATAGAAACTCTTAGAAAATGATAAAGAGAGGTGAACTTCCTCAATTTGATGAAAAATATTCACAACAAAATGACAGCTGACACCACAGTTAATGAAAAACTGCTTTCCCTCTAATATTGGGAACAAAGCAAAGATGTCTACACTCATCACTATTTTTCAACATGGTTCTAGAAGTCCTGACCAGCATAGTAAGTCAGAAAAGGAAAAAAAGAAAAGAAAAAGGAAATAAAAGGTACATATATTAGAAAGAAAGAAATGAAACAGTCCTTATTTGCAGAAAACATAATGTTCTATGCAGAAAATTGCAAGGAATCCACAAAAAAAGACTGAAACTAATAAGTGATTTCAGCAAGTACAGAAGTATGTTTGCAAGACAGAAGATTAGCATATGAAATTCAATAGTACTTCTATATTCTAACAATGAACACTTGGGAACCAGAATTTATAAAATGACTATCATTTACAAAGATTCCAAATGAGATGATTACATATAAATATAACAAAACATGTATAGAACTTGCATGCTAAAAACTATATATATAAAATAGTGATGAAAGAAATCAAATGGTATCTAAACAAATGGAGACACATATGCTTATAGATTATAAGACTCAACACAGTAAGGATGTTAATACTCTCCAAATTGATACACAGGCTTAAGGTAATTTTTATCAAAATCCCAGTAACATTTTTTGTAGTTCAAGACAAAAGTATTTAAATATTTATATGGAAAGTTAAAAGCACTGGAATAATTTTAAATATTTCAAAAATAGTTATAAAAGTGGGAGAAATTTAACATATTATATCTTTACAGTATCAAGTAATCATG